ACCCAAAAAAGGGAAAAAGAAAAGAAGAAGATTTGGAAGGATGAACAAAAAGTTGGGGGCCTACACCCAACGTGGCCCCCCGGAAAATTTCCCAATGCCCGCGTTTCAAGGAGTACGGTGAGATGGACGTGGTTGTAGCTAGGGTTTTCCATGTGGTGGCGATGGCGTGACGATGAGTGGGTGGTGTTAGAAATTGTGTTTTAGATTACAAGCTTTAATCTATGGTTTGCTAATTGATGGTGAGGAGTGGGTGGGAAAAGTAATCAGGATCGGACGGTGGTATCTGTGTTTATCGTTCATGTGGCCCCTGTGGGGAGATTTTTAGAATGTGATGGACTTGTTATGGAAATGAGGGGAGTATCGGGTGTATCAGCCTGATTTGAGAGATTAAAACAGAAGTGATTTATGCCTATTGGTTGCATGTCAGCTTGCCTCCTCCCTTAATGTGGCCAGGTCAGTCCATTTAAATTTTTTTTTTTTTTTTTTTGTTTTCTTTGTTTTTTAAGGTGAGGCTGATAGAAAAAATAATATCGATGAGCATAGGATCTTTCCATATATCTGAAAATAACGGTGGTACTACATGCACCAATTAGTGTACCTACTAGTGTACTAATTAGTGTTAAAGTGATAAATTAATTACTTATTTATTATATCAAATTATATAATAACCCAAAACCCATCTGATTGGTACATCTAGTGTGTACACCTAATTAGTGGCATATGTATTTATTGAAAAATAATTGTGGCTTCTATATTTTTTGAATATGTCAATGTTGGACAGTTAATCAAATTTTTAATATTGAATTAATATATTGAAAAGTTGTGTTTCATGATGAGTCTTTGAATTTGAAGAGTCATATTGGTTTAGGTGGTTCAAGTGTCTTGAATGTATTATGTGTGAAGGTACATGTTGATTAAAGTAATGCTAGAGATCTCAAAATTCTAACCAAAAGTTTTTACAAATGTTCTACTGGGTGTGGGACCCACACACTGTGGGTCCCATGTGGGTCCCAATCACCCATGTGAGACATGTTGGTAAAACTTTGGTAGATTTTTTGGGGCTCTACCTTTTTTGATGATATAATGTCTGAAACTCTTCATATCCTTTTGTGGTAGTACAAATGAGAAGAAAGTTTGGCATAAAAAAAATTTGGTGTCCTTTTTGGGGAAATATCATTTTTAATGGGAAATAAAAAACAAATGAATATCGTTTAGCGGTGAAAGTTTAGAAAGTTTTGTCTTTAAGCAAAGTTTTTAATTAATTTGATATTATTTTTCTACCTTTCCGACAAAAATCGATATTTTTTTCTTTTTCTTTAAAATATTTTCGGTCTCCACACGTCTGTAATTCAAATACGTTTATTTTGAGTTTTAGTTACTTCTTACTGGCTTACCATGTTCTGTTGCATTAAGAAATCCATTTCTGCTTGGTTTTTAAATTTTCAAAAACTTTTGCTGAGTTTTACTCTTTTTTTGTAATTTTTTTATTGAACGCCTTTTAATATTTTAATCATTTTTTTTCAATCAAACTTAATTTGGATATATTTTAAAAAAGTTAGTACCAAATTTGTGAATTTTTTTTAAAAAATTACTTAAATACAAGAAAATTAAAAAATTAGGCACATTTTCATTTACTTTTTTTGGCATTTATTTTTAGATTTATTCACAAATGTTTTAATTTATTATGTATATTTAGATTAGGTAAATCTAGAAAGTAAGAATAAAATATTAAAAAAATTTACTCAAAAATAAAAAAGTACAAATTGAAAAACCGTTGTTTAAAATTCAAACCAACAAAGTGATTTAAGTTTCCTAATGTCTAATATTATTCAACATAGTAATCTGTGCAACCAATTTTCAGCAGTTAATTCTTGTCGCATATACCATGATGACGAAAACTGTGAATTCATCCGATGACATATGCAAACCTTTTTTTTTAATTAGGGATAAAAAAAAATTAAAAAACAGATTAAAGGTTTGGCAATTAATAGCAAACCTTAGTCAAATGGAGACATTTATTAGAATTTTTTGTTTCTCCAATGGGGGTTTGTAACGTAATATCAATGATCCTCTTCCGTAAATTATTATCAACAGAATTTCATAAAATAACTATTACAGCAAAACCATCATTCCGTTAGTACATCATTTAAGAAAAAAATTAAATCGATATGAATATTTATAACAAAAAATATTTGTTTATTGTTTTTTTTAAATGAATGCACATAGAAATAAAATAAAAAATTACAATTATGCAGTTTGATTTAATTTTTTCACCTGAATGATATACATGAGAAGACATATAAACGAATGGTTCAGGTCATGAAAATCGAATATAGTAGGCCCCCAGAGGTCTGTCAATTCTCGAATTCATGTTGTAATTTAAAGGAGTTAACCTTCCTTATTTATTTTTTTTTATTTTATTTATTTTTTGGTGTTTATCGGCAAAGAAAATCTTTATTTGATGTAAGTTATGTAAAGAGATACAGAACATCAATAAAGAGGAACTAGAGCTAATTGAAGTCCACTCTCCCGTTGGTGAGAAACCAACAAAATAAATCAATGAAGAAAAACATAACAGAACTGTCATCAAATCATAAGCAGTTGGTGTTAACCTTCCTTATTTGATCATACATATCATAGCATACTTTTACCCTTAAGACTGTTGATAGAAATTGGTCCAAAATAGGTGGTTGATAAGTAGTATGTTAGCAAAATTAAGATGCGATTTAGTATCATGGTGGCTTGGGCTTTTGTTAGTGGCCAGAAACTTTCTTACATTCTACTAATCACTATTGAAAAATATTATTCATGGTCACTTTGTACATAAAAGTGCGAAGTTTAAATATGGATTTTTTATTTAAAGTGATACACCTATATTATTCTGTGTTAATATTACTTTGTTTTTATGTTTGGATATCCATATCTCATTACCATTAAACCAAGTTTACAATAATTTTAACCCAAAAATTATACACATCTTTAATTTAAATTTTTTAAAATACTTTCATATGAGTTGGACCATTTTATTATAATTTGATTCACTGGACGGTATGGAGTTGGTAGCTACTATCTTTTGCTAAATGATTAGCATGATATTATAATTGATCATATAAATATAGGGAAAATATGTTGCTTTGGGTGACTTATCATAGGCTTTTTAATCAACTGAATGCATGAATCATGACAAACATTTTATTCTTATAGCATTTGAAGATTTTACCATTTTTTTATTTATTTGTAATTTATTAATCAAGTGAATGAATTTGTCATTTGAAGAAAAAACTAATTGTTTAAGGCTTTCTGTGATTGATTATTGATCACTATTAAATCCTTATCTGTGCATTATCATTGGTTAAATGGTGTTTTATTGCAGAGGTTGTGACGCTCAATCTCACTCAAATGTTTTGTGAGTCTGTAGAGAGGAGCAAGTGGATTAACATACAATTATTAGTTGTGGAATCTTATGTAAGAGAACTATTATGTGGTGTGTAATTGAGAAAATAATTAATTAGAAAGAGAAGCCGCTTGACTAGGTGCACTATACCATGTGTGTAAAACTGAATGGTTCGATCTCACTCTGATTGGCGAAATCACTACTGGGGTCTATTAATTAAACGCACAATCGGGCCAAAGCAAGTGACAGTATGGCAGGGCGCGATAAGTTCATGGTATTTCAATTTTGATTATTGCTTACAGGGGAGTGAACACACCCCTTTGCAGTTAACCTCACACCAAGATACATGCTGTTTCTTTATTGCTTGTACTTACAAGACTGTGTTTTGGTTGTGAGATTGAGAAGTGATTTGGAAAAGAACATAGAAATGTGGTGAAATGGTGATTAAATATACTTACATTTCACCTAATTTCACACACGACCTTTTTCCTTTCTCTTTTCCCAAATCCCTCCTTAAACTCCCCCATCAAACATAGCTTACTATTACTTATGTATTATTTGATAACATTTTGATTTTCATTTTAAAAAGTTGAAGGCAAGACTTATGATAAGATTGCAAAATAACTGAGCTATTAGCTCATAAGGGCTTCAGTTCATTAAGTAATAAACAACCTCGGGTCCTGCAAAGCTTGGTCAACTCAATTGTAGTTTACGTCATAATATTGCAAAATGGTTTTAATTCTTATTGGCAGCATAAAAATTAAACTGCCATCTTGGTCTGATTTACACCTCACTAATTTTATGGATGAATGAGATTTTCATTTATGAATTAGTGTTATATAAAAGATCATATCAAAATCTTTTCTTTTAAATTTTAAAACATTCAAGAGAAGTTTCGCATGTACTAAATTGCCTTTCTTAATTGTACTTATTATTGCTCCATCTTCTTTGAGCTATTAGTAATTAATTTCGATTCAAATTGGATGAAATTTGCAGGTAGGGAGGTATGGAGGCGCTATGCATCCCACTCAGTACAAAACATCACTCCTCAAAGGCCAAGAGAGGCATATGTGAGTATCCTCCATTCCTCAGAAACCTATGTTTGCGGTGCAATAGCTTTGGCTCAAAGCATAATCCAAACCAACTCCACCAAAGACTTAGTCCTTCTTGCAGATGACTCCATCTCTCGAAAATCACTTCAAGGGCTTAGGGCAGCTGGATGGAAGGTCAAGCACATTGACCGCATTCGAAGCCCATATGCAAGAAAAGATGCCTATAACGAATGGAACTACAGCAAACTTAGGGTTTGGGAGCTAACAAACTATGACAAAATCATTTTCATAGACGCTGACCTCATAGTTCTCAAGAACATGGATGGTTTCTTTGTGTATCCACAGCTTTCAGCTATTGGCAATGATAAGTTTTTATTCAACTCAGGGGTGATGTTGGTTGAGCCATCCAAGTGCACATTTGAAACCCTAATGGAGAAAAGGTACAGAGTGGCTTCATATAATGGGGGTGACCAAGGTTTTCTCAATGAAATGTTTACATGGTGGCACCGGTGGCCTTCAAAGGTGAATCATCTCAAGATATCTATAGGGGATCACAATAAGGTACATGATCAAATGATCCCTGAGAATATATATACCATACATTACTTGGGTTTGAAGCCATGGATGTGCTATATGGACTATGATTGTAATTGGGATATGTTGGACCGCCATCGTTATGCTAGCGATGCAGCTCACCAGAGGTGGTGGCAGGTTTATAAAGCCATGCCGAGGAGGCTACAATCGTATTGTGCACTTAGTGAAGGAAGGGATGCAAGGATAAGAAAGTGGAGAAAGAGAGCTAAGGGTGCTAATTTTCCTGATGGGCATTGGAAGATCAAGGTGAAAGACCCTAGGCGACTTCATTCCTGATGTTTGTATTTGTAAATTAAAAAAGATTTGAGGGTTTCCTCCAAAGGAAAGGTTCTGAAGAATGAATACCATTAGACATAGAATTTTTTTTTTCCTTTTCAAAATCACAACTCAATGGTGATCTTGGAAAAAGCTACACCATCTTAATTACATATTTCACATGCAAAAAGAATTGCATATAGGTCCCTTTTGTATTGCAATTGTTGATTGATTAAAGTGCAATTGTAAAAATTGAACATACATACCCCATACATATAAGGTCACTTATCTTTCTTCCTTTCTCTGATTCTTTTGATGTGGTTTTTAACATGAGAAAATCTGGGCACTCACCCACTTTGGTTATAATGTCATATACGTTCAAAGTTATGTTGCAATGTCTTTGAATTTAAACGCAATTACATTGTATTGTAACGCCAATAACTAATCGATTTATATTTTAGAGTTATGATCGATGTGATTGTTAGCATAATTTCAATCACAATGCAAAAATTATATTATATCATCCGTTAGTATATTAATTAATATATATGTTGGTGCGTATTGTTTTATCCTTTTGGAATACTCAATAATTTCTTCAAATCAAACAATAAGTCATTTTTGATTGAGCTACTATACACAATTCCTTATGGCCTCTTTTGTTTTGCGAATTAGGTTAAAAAAAATTATGAGTTTAATAAGATTGAGTAAGAAAATTATTATTATAATGATATTAAGTTAGAAATGTAAGATATAATGTATTTGTTTGTGTATTAGTATAGTGATATTAGTTAATTGGAAATAAATCTATAAAATTACGTAAAGATTTTCATTCTATAAAAGTGAGTTTATTATTTTTTATGAAAAGAGGGCAAAGTGCTCTTTCACCTAGGGGTACAACTTGGGCGGGCTCAACCCGAGCAACCTGAGCTTAGCTTGAATTTTTTTAAGACTTGGATAAGATATTTTCAAATTCGGTATGGGCTCAGGCAAAAATTCAGAAGCCCGAATTAAATTTGGACGGGCTTGGGCAAAGATGTCGAACAACCTGAGCAACCCGAAACCCGAATTATACATATATAGATATATAAAAATATTAAATATACATATAAATTATTAGTCATTACATGATATTAAAGTAATTTAGATTATTAAATCATATTGAATATATATTATATATACAAATAACATAAACTCGTACTCTTTTTTTTTTCACTCATAAATTGTAAGAACTACTATAGCGGCATCTTTCTTACATTACATAAATTATTTGTTTTGATAGTATTAATGATTTTCTATATAAAAAAAATGTAAATAGAGTTAAATTTTAATAATTTAATAAAGTAGCTGCACACACAAAAAAAAAAAAAAATGAAATTCATTTACAATTAGGGCAATTTGGGCAAACCGGCCAATTTGGGTTTAACTCGGGTCGGGCTTGGACATGCAACCTCGGGTTACAATTCGGGCTTGGACGAGCTTGGGCAGGTCTCAGCACAACTTGGGCTAGACTTGGACAATCTCCCAACCCGACCGAACCCGCCTAAGTTGCACCCCTACTTTCACCTTCAACCCAAGAGGATTGGATTAATAATCCTAACTCCCCGATGAGAATGCTAATTCCATCCTTAGTAGGGTTTGGTAGTACCATTAGACTAACAATCTCATAGCATTTTAATATAGCCAAACATGATTTTGATGGACCTTATAGATTAATAGTCCAATCACTCTACTAAGGGGTGGTTTAAGATTTACTTATTTAATGTTTTTTTAACTTTTTACGAAAAAATATATAGAAATATAGAAAGGTAATATGACAACTTATAACAAATAAGTTACTTATTTACTATGTTGCCAAACCACCCTAAGAGACCAAACAAACATGACTGATAGGCGTTGACAGCGAATCCATTTGGAGTGGCCATAACACTCAAATAATATAATATATTTTAAATAATAATTTATAATTAGGAAATTTTTTTTAAGGTCCCTAATAATAGTAATTTACAGGATAAATGACACTAAAAATAGGGATGATGTCTCAGGTTCCTCAACTAAGAACGCGCATTTTTAATTCTTTCTTGGACCAAAATACCCTTCACAAATCAACTGAGAACACTCCACTGCATTCCGACGACTCAGTTCCATTCCAAACATCCAACCATCTTCATGAGCAAGAGAACATGAGAATTAGGGTTTCACAATCATCTTCACTATCGACATTACGGTTTCATTATCTTCTGCCAAAATCTTTTCCATTCCTTCCTTACAAATTTCTCTAACGCATTTTCACTGTTCATCGTCATGTCAGCTCATTTTCATCTCATTGCATCTTCATCTTAGGACATATCAGTTCGTAATTAGGGTTTCATCATCACTCTGGTAAGTTTTCTACAATCCAACGAGTTTTTCTATGGAAATACAGTTAATTGCATACTACATTAGCCTTTCATTAATTAAGGTTTCAATTTCGTAATAAAAATCTACATGAATTTAAAAAATGTTATTTCTCTAAATTTTGCACTTATTCTTGAAGATGTTTGTGTGATTTTGTCTGTAAATTTTTCTGCCATTTGAATTTCTCTAGTATTTGCTTGATCTATGTTTCTTCTTTGAATTTTCCCTAGCATGTTTATTCTCCCATTTGTTTCTTTTTATTCCCTCATTTTCTTTGGCATGGTTAATTTCTCTGTATTTCTTTGTGTAATTTTCAAATACAATTCATTCAAATTTTTCTACTCTATAAATTTCTCTGGCATTTTAATTTTCTCTGCTATGTATAAATTTCTCTGGCATTTTAATTTTCTCTGTCATGTATAAATTTCTCTGGCATTTTAATTTTCTCTGCCATGTATAATTTTCTCCACATAAGCACGTAGTCACATAAACACATACGCATTTCTTTCCCAGATAATGATCGTCTCGTCGTATTGCTAGAGTTCTAATTAGAAACAGCAGTGATCAAGTACTCTTCTAATAGAACATCTAGAAATTCGTAGGCCCAATCAATATCTTAGGAACTAAATCTCATATCCATATAATCACATAAGAATGTTATCACATAAGCATACCATACATACAAATATCTCTGCCAAGCGAGACAAACCCATTGTGCTAATAACCACTTCTCACGTATCTAAAGTATTTAAACCTGGTACGCTTTGATACCAAGTTGTAACACCCCGAAATAATTACAATAATCCATCCACAATATTCATTTATGACAACAATAATAAGAGAAGTATCTTCCATTAAGTCCAATGTGATTTACAAAAGAGAAACATATGCGGTATATATTGATAATGTCTAGTTGTAGACGCGCCCGAACGCCCGGGAGGATGAGTCACGATCTGTTCATATTGGGCTCACTACAGTTTGGACTCTCGAATCGTCACGGTTCTTAATCTGAACCAAAGAGTTCGAATCCGGCAAATTGTTTTGAGAAAAACAGATTTTTAGAAAAGAAGTGCCAAGCATGGACTACTTTGCCAGATACAGAGTCGCCACCTAAATATTTTATTTTGGGAAATTTAGGGAACCCTGACTCGGTGCCGAAGGCCACGTGTCCGTCATCACCAAAGTTGCCTCGGCTTAGGAACTTGGGTACGATTGGGGAAGGTCAGCTATGAGCACCCCTTCTCGCCCGATTCGAAGATCGGCCTCTACTAACCATGATATCTAATTTTGAAAACATTATGTATTCCTATTCCGGTTATTAGCCTAGAATTACTATGTTATGCGCACAGCAAACAAGTATAGACCAAATTGCCTAAATTGGAACAAAACATTGCATGTTTGTTTATTTGAGAAAGATTTGATGGTGCTACCCGCGAGTAGGCTAAGACATGGATTTTGCCACCCTCGAGTGTGCTTAGAAAATATGATTTTGACACTCTCAAGTGGGCTTAAAATTCGCATCCAATGCATTGTTCCAATTTAAGTAACCCAACCTTCACCCACAGACATTCAGGCAGTTATAACACGTAAGCACGTAGCCTCATGGTAAGCATGCTGTCATGGCAAACACTCACACTCATGCAAGATGCTAAAGCATAAAAGCTTACCTAGTACTCCGAGCCAAAACAAAAGTTAGTTAGTAATCAATGCATGATCCTAGCTCATGTTAAGATGGCTAATGCAACACATGCAAGATGCAACTATAATAGGCTCGGCTATTCTAAGATGGCATATGATGATGCTACAACTAATACGTATTCAACTTGGAATTGAAATACAATGCAGTTAGTATGATGCGCCGAGCCCGGTGCATGCAAGACAAATGTATGGATGCACGCATACATAGCATAAGGTATGCTAATTTAAATATGACCTAATACTAACCATCAAAAGCAGGTAAGTAAAAAGGAGAAAGAAGTGGGGGTTGGAAGACATGCACATACGCACCCACACTTATTACAAATTCGCCCTCACTCGGAGGGACCAAAAGAATATACAAATTAATTAACCTACAAGCTAATTAATTATTACAAACCCTTAATTAATTAAACAAATTAACTAAGCTACTAAAGCAGTAAAACAGCCTCGGGAAGAGGGATGAATGCATGCTCGGATTGGCTTCGCTCGGAAACCCAATGCCATGCCACTGTTGCCTCTGTTTTCCCTGCTCTGCTCCTCTGGAAATGGCATAACTCCCAAGGTATGCTCCATGGACACTGTGGAACACCACCGGCTAAGAGGAATGGCCACCGGTCATGGGGAATGATCACCGGCCACAGGTTAAGTTATCGGCCACCAATATTTGTCGGCACTAAAGATAGCCGGCCGGCCAAAGCTTCCTACAGAATCCTGTTTTGACAGCAACAGAGGGCAAAACAAGGCATGGCAATGCATTTCAAGAAAATGTGTGCGTTAACACACCCCTTATCATGTTTATGACTCAAAGGGGGATGGTACTCGATTCTCGGACCACCAATCGCGCATTTCAATGCGTGATGGCCCAAAAAACCAAGTTGTGCATTTTGATTTCAAATGACATGCAAACCAAATAAACATATAAAGCCCAACCTCTATCACGGTGATTCAAGAGGCAAGGCATGCATACAAAATGCTATGCAACCTAGGCATGGAAGCTAAGTATGCAACATGAACATGTGAATATGTATAGCATGCAACAATCATGCAAAATGGAGCAAGGATGTGACAATATGCAAGACAAGCACGCAACATCAAGCAAAGATGGACTTAAACCAATATAGGTAAATCTCAAGCATGCCAAAATCAGTGGCCAAAATGATGCAACAAAGGCATGAAAACACACACACAAGCATGCATGCACAAAGG